TCCTTGTTTTATACCCTCCACATTAGGTTTTTATCAATGGAGAGACGTAATAACTTACACAGTAGGTGATCTTTACCAAGGTGATATTTTTGCCTCCTTTGAGGAAAATTCAAGAAAAATATAAACTTCATTGAAGTAATTTTTTTTAGGTTTCTGCAAGTCAGGAACTATGTACAATCCTGTTTAAAGAGGTCAGCAAAAGTTAACCCTTCTTGTCTTGATACCGGTCTATTTTTGTAAAGGGAGAATGATTTCTTGAATATACACAGTATTTCACAGAAGTGAGTACACCCCTCACATCTTTTCATGTGACAACACTGAAGAAATTACACTTTGCTACAATGTAAAGTAGTGAGTGTACAGCTTGTATAACAGTGTAAATTTCCTGTCCCCTCAAAATAACTCAACACACAGCCACTAATGTCTAAACCACTGGCCACAAAAGTGAGTACACCCCTAAGTGAAAATGTCCAAATTGGGCCCAATTAACCATTTTCTCTTCCCGGTGTCATGTGACTCGTTAGTGTTACAAGGTCTCAGGTGTGAATGGGGAGCAGGTGTTAAATTTGGTGTTATCGCTCTCACTCGCTCATACTGGTCACAGGAAGTTCAACATGTCACCTCATGGCAAATAACTCTCTGAGGATCTGAAAAAAGAATTGTTGCTCTACATAAAGATGGTGTAAGCTATAACAAGATTGCCAAGACCCTGAAACTGAGCTGCAGCACAGTGGCCAAGACCATACAGCGGTTTAACAGGATAGGCTCCACTCAGAACAGGCCTCGCCATGGTCGACCAAAGAAGTTGAGTGCACGTGCTCAGCATCATATCCAGAGGTTGTGTTTGGGAAATAGACGTATGAGTGCTGCCAGCATTGCTGCAGAGGTTGAAGGGGTGGGGGGTCAGCCTGTCAGTGCTCAGACCATACGCCGCACACTGCATCAAATTGGTCTGCATGGCTGTCATCCCAGAAGGAAGCCTCTTCTAAAGATGATGCACAAGAAAGCCTGCAAACAGTTTGCTGAAGACAAGCAGACTAAGGACATGGATTATTGGAACCATGTCCTGTGGTCTGATGAGACCAAGATAAACTTATTTGGTTCAGATGGTGTCAAGCGTGTGTGGCGGCAACCAGGTGAGGAGTACAAAGACAAGTGTGTCTTGCCTACAGTCAAGCATGGGAGTGTCATGGTCTGGGGCTGCATGAGTGCTGCCAGCACTGGGGAGCTACAGTTCATTGAGGGAACCATGAATGCCAACATGTACTGTGACATACTGAAGTAGAGCATGATCCCCTCCCTTCGGAGACTGGGCTGCAGGGCAGTATTCCAACACGATAACGACCCCAAACACACCTCCAAGAAAATAATGGTGGCCACACAAAATATGGACACTTTGGGCCCAATTTTGACATTTTCACTTAAGGGTGTACTCACTTTTGTGGCCAGCGGTTTAGACATTAATGGCTGTGTGTTGAGTTATTTTGAGGGGACAGCAAATTTACAATGTTATACAAGCTGTACACTCACTAGATTACATTGTAGCAAAGAGTAATTTCTTCAGTGTTGTCACATGAAAAGATATAATAAAATATTTACAAAAATTTGAGGGGTGTACTCACTTCACTCAGCACAAAGTCCCAGGTACGAGCCTTCTTGGGGTTGGCGGGGTACTATCGCTGTTTCATCCCTAACTTCTCCTCCTTAGCCGCCCCCCTGACAGACCTGACCAGGAAGGGGCAGCCAGAGAAGGTGTGCTGGACACCCGAGGCGGAAGAGGCCTTCCGGAATGTAAAGACAGCGCTCACCTCGGAGCCGGTTCTGTAAGCCCCGGACTTCAGCTGTCCCTTCCTGCTGCAAACGGATGCCTCCGACACAGGACGTGGAGCCGTCCTCTCCCAGGTTCAGGAAGGTGAGGAGCATCCAGTCCTTTATATCAGCAGGAAGCTGACCCCGGCCGAGAAGAATTACGCCACAGTGGAGAAGGAAGCTCTGGCCATCAAGTGGGCAGTCCTGGTGCTGCGCTACTACCTCCTGGGACGTAAGTTCAATCTCGTTACGGACCACGCGCCCCTCCAGTGGATGGCCCGGGCCAAAGACATGAATGTCAGGCTGATGCGGTGGTTCCTTGCGCTACAGGACTTCCACTTCCTAGAGCAACATCGGGCCGGAGTCGCCAACTCCAACACCGACGGCCTCTCCCGGATTTGGTCAGCTTTTGCAGGTCTGTCGGGGGTCACTCCCCACCCACCGCTTGTGTCTCCCCTTCTAACACCATTTTGTTCGGCTAGACCCAGGACAACGCTTGGGGGGGGTGGGGTGGGGTGGGAGTGTGATGAGCATCCCGGCTCCACATCAGCGTTGCCCTGGAAACTCACGAGGTGCACCTGCTCACAAGCCGATCGGCCACACCTGGGGCTCTTCAACCCGCTGGCAGTTAAGCAGGGTGCTCACCGACGACGGGGGAGAAGCCTCTCCATGAGACAGCAGACTAACACTCTCTCTATTCCGTTCCAGAAGGCACTGAATGACCGATCAGCCCCACCACGAGCACTGCACGGATTCACCCACACCTGGACACGACCAAGAGGACCTCAGCGAGCTAAAGCCCCATCACCAGTCATGTAGTCACTTGTCATTTAATAAATCCAACCTCCAGGGCCTTACACCAAGCTCTCCTTGTTGCGTGATCCTTCCACCCCGCCACAGTATGTACAGGTATTATATGTGCAAATTAGAATTTAAAAAAGTAAGTGTTTTAAATATATAAATGTATAAAAGTGTCGTGTTCCATGTTTATTGTCAAGTGCTCATGAGATGGGTTGCCTGAGGGAAGAAATTTGTTCCTGTGTCTGGTCGTTCTGGTGCGCAGTGCTCTGTAGCATCGACCAGATGGCAACAGTTCAAAGAGGGAGTGTGTTGGATGTGAGGGGTCCAGAGTGATTTTGCTAGCCCTTTTTCTCTCTCTGGATGAGTACAGTTCTTGGAGATTAGGGAGGGTTAAGTTAGGGTTAGGATTTAGGGTTAAGATTCAATGATGGTGGAGTAGAACTGTTTCAGCAGCTCCTGTGGCAGGTTGAACTTCCTCAGCTGGAGAAAGAAGTACAACTTCTGCTGGGCCGTTTTAACTATGGACTCGATGTGAGTTTCCCACTTCAGATCCTGAGAGATTGTGATGCCCAGAAACCTGAATGACTCCACTGTTGTTACAGTGCTGTCCATGAAGGCGATTGGGGGGAAAGCAGGGGGGTTCCTCCTGAAGTCCAAAATGACTAAATGTAAAATCTAAATCCACTATCATCTCCACATGGGCGCCACAGCATTGGCAGCCCACTGCTGGACGCAAACCTGGGGGGCACCAATGCTGATCGTACGGGTGCTGGATGAGAATTTTCCTAGCTTTACTAGCTGCTGCCTGTCTTTCAGGAAGCTGGTGATCCATTGACAGACAGAAGTGGGCATGGATAGCTGAGTTAGTTTGAACAGGAGGAGGTTTGGGATGATGGTGTTGAAAGCCGAGCTGAAATCCACAAACAGGATCCTCACATAAGACCCTGGTCTGTCTAGATGTTGCAGAATGTAGTGCATCCAACTCTTATTTCAGTTCAAACAACTCTTTAAAAAAAATTACAATTATTTTGCTACTCCTAATCTTGTCGGAGCCTTCATGCCACTGTTGTTGCTACATTTGGTAGGTGTAGGGTCTCATGGTCTGACTGAATCCTCTAGTGTGCGCATTTAGAGGATTATAACACTAGGTGGTGCTGACCGACAATTAAATATATTAAATTTTTTCCTATATGGCAGGGGTTTGGAACGTTGATTCTGCAGGGCCGCCATCCTACAGAGTTTAGCTCCAGCCTGAACAAGCTAATCAAGGTCATCAGGATACAGGTAGGTATTTTTTTCAGGGTTGGAGCTAAACTCTGCAGGATAGTGGCCCCTCTGGTATCAACGCTCCCCCTATATGGCTTTAACAACATCGTCTTCTGCAAAACATACAGCTTTAAACTAAGATGAATAATGTTTTGTACTACAGCAGAAACACAAACCATCTATAATGCATACAAGAAGACATCATGATATATAATTAAAGTTAAAATAATTCAAACAACACTTTTTATTGTTATTAATATTTTTGTCCCAAAAGCACTTTAAACCATCGTGAGGGCTTGCAATAAATTTTAATAAGCAGACATGCATAATTGTCAGTGTTTCATAAATGAAATGAATGCTGTACACCTACTTATGAAATCGCACAACTCACAGGACAATGAAAAGCAATTATACTCCATATGAAGAAATATGAAGTAAATGTGAGAATAAAGCTGTTCTCAGGCACCAATGATAACAAGAACTCTCTTCATGAATACCCTTCTTCAGTGTTTCCATTGGTTTTGAAAACAGTGCCACCACTCGCACCCTTTTGTGCAACAGCAGCTGCTCCAGGTATGTGATCTAAAGCTCAAATCTTACTGGACTCTCTGGTTTTTTGCCGGGCGACAGGAAATAAAAATTAGACACACCGGTCAAAAAAAAGAAAAAAAAACCTTCACTTTGGTGCACCACAAATATTCGTTCCCAGTGTGAGTAACTCCATAGAGATCAATCATATTCATTCAGGAGCATCATCGTACCAAAGTTTCACATTCAGTTTGAAAGGGACTTAAAGGGATAGTTCACCCAAAAATGAAACCTGTATGAGTTTCTTTCTTCTGTTGAACACAAAAGATATTTTGATAATTGATGGTAACAACACAGTTGATGGCACCCATTGACTTCAATAGTAGGAAAAAAATACTATAGAAGTCAGTGGGTGCCATCAACTGTGTTTTTTCCAACATTCTTTAAAATATCATCTTTTGCATTCAACGGATGAAAGAAAATCATTCAGGTTTAGAAAAGGTGAGTAAATCGTGAAAAAATTTTCATTTTTGGGTGAACTATCCCTTTAACACAGCCTAAAACAGTCACATTTTGTAATACCATTCACATCTTACCTGGTGATCTTGTGTTTCTTGTATTTCCTGCATTCAGTGTCCGAACCTCATGAGGTTTTGTTTGCAACATTTCCTAATTTGGAAGAAATGGTTAATTAAATATTTTTCTCAAGAGAAAACAACAACAACAATTTATGATGATTACATTTTTAATCCCTAATTTCATGAGACATTTTCTTTTCTTTTTTTTCTGAGGGAGAGCACTTACCTGTGGATTCTCCACAGCTAGAGTTGCCAAACATAGATATGTCCATAAATAGATGCAATTCAGCTGCTTCAGGTACATCAGAAGTGCTGCCATCTTGGAAATGGTCAGCAAGTAGACCTGTTAGATTAGAAATCAAAGGAGAATATTCCTCAGTGCCCTGATCATTCAGGTTTAGAAAAGGTGAGTAAATCGTGAAAAAATTTTCATTTTTGGGTGAACTATCCCTTTAACACAGCCTAAAACAGTCACATTTTGTAATACCATTCACATCTTACCTGGTGATCTTGTGTTTCTTGTATTTCCTGCATTCAGTGTCCGAACCTCATGAGGTTTTGTTTGCAACATTTCCTAATTTGGAAGAAATGGTTAATTAAATATTTTTCTCAAGAGAAAACAACAACAACAACTTATGATGATTACATTTTTAATCCCTAATTTCATGAGACATTTTCTTTTCTTTTTTTTTCTGAGGGAGAGCACTTACCTGTGGATTCTCCACAGCTAGAGTTGCCAAACATAGATATGTCCATAAATAGATGCAATTCAGCTGCTTCAGGTACATCAGAAGTGCTGCCATCTTGGAAATGGTCAGCAAGTAGACCTGTTAGATTAGAAATCAAAGGAGAATATTCCTCAGTGCCCTGAATAATCTGCTTAAGTGTCTATCATATATGTCTCGGGTTACTTGACTGTAACCCTGTTCCCTGAAAAAGCAGGAACAAGATGCTGCATTTCAATAACACATATGAGAACATTCTTTGTTTGACCGGTTGTGAAGCATGTGTGTCAAACACGGCAAGAATTGGCTTAAATAACCTCGGTGGGTGACGCCACTTGATTACGTGCACCTGAGGGGTTATAAAGAGATGTGAAACAGACACACCTGTTATACCTTTGTTTGAAGAGTCGTCCAGGCACATCTGCAGTGCGGCATTGAGGCACAGCATTTCGTTCCCACTTTTTCAGGGAACAGGGTTACAGTCAAGTAACCCGAGATGTTCTCTGTCTAAAGATAATCCCGATGCTGCGTTTTAATGCATATAAGAACGAGAATACCAATGCCGCTGCACTGAAAATGTCTGGACCCCCCAAGGTTGTGTAGTGTGTGTGCGCACAAACATTGAAGAGGTTGCAGACATGAGTCTGGGATGTTGACTCAAGGACACGCAAGCCCGAAATAGCATAGACATCCAATCTACAGAATCTGATAAACGTGTGCAGGGAGGACCAGCCTGCCGCATCACACACTTGCTGCAAGGGGCCACCTCTTGCCACAGCCTTAAAGGATGCAACCCCCCTGGTTGAATGGGCCCTAACTCCTAGAGGTGAAGCTTGACCGCACGCCTCCTAGGCTAGGGCAATAGCACCAAATGTGACATTTTTATCTAGTGGAAGCTGCCCCCCGGTTGCGGCCCCCAATAGCATATGAAAAGCTGCTCCGACTCATGCCACTGGCTAGTGCGGTGGACATAAATCTGAAGAGCACGTACTGGACACAGTAGGTGAAGTCTTTCTTGCTCCGGTGTCGTGAACGGCGGAGGGCAGAAGGCTTCAAGAATGACCGGATGTATGGTCAAGAATGGAACTTTGGGAAGATAATTAGGGTGAGGTTGCAAAATAGCTTTGACCAACCCAGGGGCAAAGTCTAAGCAGGAAGAAAAGTAATAGCCATGAGAAAAAAAAACATCTTTAGAGTCAGAAACCTGACAGGCGCTGACTCTAGTGGTTCAAAAGGGGTCCCAATCAGACCCTTGAGCACTATAGCTAAGTAGCACGAAGGAACTGTCGCTCTGGCGGGCGGCCTCAACCGCTCAGCTCCGCGAATGAATCCGGCAACTAGAAGGTGCTTTCCCACAGAAACCCTGTCAGACAGAGCGTGGCAAGCCGAAATGGCAGCAACATAGATACTGAGTGTACCAGGACATGTGCCTGAGGACAGTTTTTATTGCAGGAACTGCAGCACTGAAACAACTTGGCAGTTAACTGGGTTTGCATGGTGTGTCATACATCAAATGTTGAAAACGTGCCATCTCGGGGCATAACTACTTCTAGTGGAGGGAGCCCTAGCACTTAGAATAGGCAAGGCAAGTTTATTTATATAGCAGATTTCATACACCAGTGTTTTTCCCTGATCCTGAGCGCCCCCCAACACTGCACATTTTGTATGTCTCCCTTATCTGACACCCATTTCAGGTCCTGGAGTTTCTTTTAATGAGCTAATGAGTTGAATCAGGTGTGTTTGATTAGGGAGACACACAAAATGTGCAGTGCTGGGGGCGCCCAGGACCAGGGTTGAGAAACACTGTCATACACAATGGTAATTCAAAGTGCTTTACATAAAAGAAAAGAAAAAAGAAAAAAATAATCACAACAATAAAACAAGGAATTTAAAACTTTAAAAATTATTTTAAAATAGATTTAAGAGGTTTAAAATAAATTTAAAACATTTAAGAATAGAAAATTATAAATTATTATACATAAAATATAGTGCAATCAGTTCGGACATTGCACAGTGCTCATTCAGTAAATGCACAGCTAAACAGATGAGTTTTGAGTCTGCATTTAAATGTGACTAATGTTTTAGCACATCTGATCTCTTCTGGAAGCTGATTCCAACTGCGGGCGGCATAATAACTAAAAGCGGACTCCCCTTGTTTTGTGTGAACCCTTGGTATTTCTAACTCGTGATTTAACTGATGCTAATGATCTGAGTAACAATTTGTTAAATATTGAATACTTTAGGGATTTATTTTTTTTAATCCTCTGTTGACCTGTTATGATTAAATGTACAAAACAATACACTGTATTGGAGTTCTTGTTGAGTGTAAAAATTGTATAGATAAAAATAAATGGGTAACACTTTATTTTAAGGTGTCCTTGTTACATGTGTTACATGTACTTACTATTATAATAACAATTAATTATGCATAATTACATACAAGTAACCCCAAGCCAATCCATAATTCTAACCCTAACCATATAGTAAGTACATGTAGTTAATTAATATTACTCAGTTTTTAAATGTATAATTACACTGCCACAAATACACCTTAAAATAAAGTGTAACCAATAAATGTTTTGAGTTGCAAAAAAAATAAAATTAAAGCTGCAAGCAGAGTTGAAAGGGCCCTCGCACCCGGGCTCACCGCCACCTTGTGGCTTTAGGAAAACAGCGACCAGTGGGCAATATGCATTTAAAGTGGTAAATATAGGAGGAATATGTCAAAGTCATTTACGTATATGTGCCAAACTTTCTGCTGCCAACTGGTCGTGCTATGACTATAACTGAATATTGGCATGTAGATGTCTTCAGGCCAGGACTCTTACCAAACAGGTGAAGTTTGGTGCCGATTGGACATTGTATGCATGAGTTACAACAACTTCCTGTTTCATGGCTTTAGCACTAAGTAAGTGTTGCTAGCTTGTTTGAGCATGTTTAGCACACAATGGCATATTTTACTCTGTTGCCAATAATGCATCACAGTGTTAAATGAGTCTGATTTTCACCAAAATTGGCTCAGATCATCTTCAGATCATGCTGGCAAAAAGTTATGGAATTCAAGTTGATTAGTGAAACCGTTCTCGAATAACGCACGAACAAATTTGACGAAGAGCATGTAAAAATGCAGGTGAGGCTATATCTCCGCAACGGTTTGACGTATTGAAACAAAACTTGGTGTGTTATAACAACCATGACCTGAGGCTACCTGCACAGTTTCGGCGCTGGGCCACCTAGTTGTGAGGAGGTATGAACATTTTTTATTTTTGCTTATAACTTCTGAATGGTTTGACCAAAAATCACAAAACTCTTTAGATTCAGTGCGGCATGCCGAGTCAAACGAAATTTTCCCATGTCAGCCATTTTTTGCGTCTGCCATTTTGAATTTTGTTGTAAAATGTTATATTTTACAAACGCATTGGCGTATCGTTACGAAACTCGGTATGTGTCTTCAGCACCATGGCTTGACAGTACTCAAAAAGTCCTGGCCACCTTGTGGTCAAAAGTTATAATTAAGTTTACAAAAATGCTAATAACTTTTGCTTCAATTAGCCTATTGTAATGAGACTGGTCTTGATAGATTCCTTGGATCATTCAGAGAACATAGATTCCAATAATGCCATAATTGGCCAAACTTCCTGTTCAAACTTTATGTTCTAACCTACTTTTTCGAACTCCTCCTAGACCGTTGGTCCGATTTTCACCAAATTTGACTCAGATCATCTTCAGGCCTTGAAAAAAAGTTATGGATTTCATGCCGATATACAAAACGGTTATCGTTGAACACATCAACGAATTTGCTGGAATGATGCCAAACTGCATCTGAGGCTGTATGTCTGCAAAGCGTTGACATATTGACACCAAACGTTTTATGTGCCATTGACACCTCACACTGACCATGCCACATCAATTTGGTAACAGCCACCTACTGGTCAAAAGTAATAAAACAATCATTAACCACTAATAATGAAATTTCCAAAAATGCTAATAACTTTTGATCAAATTAGCTTATTGGAATCGAACTGGTCTCAAAATATTCTTTGGGTCTTGCTGAGAACATCGATACAAATTTATTTATTTATTATCACAAAATTTGAGTCAGATTATCTTCAGACTGTGCTGACAAAAAGTTATGGATTTCGTGTTGATAGAAAAAAAACGCTACAAATTTGAGGCATGATGCCAAACTATGTCTGAGGCTGTATCTCTGCAAAGCTTTGACATACTGACACCAAGCTTTGTGTGTGGCATTGTTCACTCACACAGAACACACCACATCGATTTGACAACAGCACCACCTATTGGTCAAACGTGATAAGCCATTAAATCATATTACTAGTTGTTGTATTTATGATTTTTCAGCCATTTGGCTAAAATCAGCCTAAAATGGCTTCAATTACTAATTTCTGCAGTTGATTTGATGCTTGCGTCTGTAGTTCTTGGCCCCATAATTGCTGCTTGCAGCTATATGTTTTAAATAAAACTTTTCCAAGTACCAAAGAGGTGCATATATATTCTAAATAAATTCAACACATCATGTTTTTACTAGTGTAATTACTACTACTAGAGACTACCTTCATTCTTCAAATGCGTATAATTGTATTTTGCTTATTGATTAAATGTGGTTAATGTGCTGTTAAATTACTACATTGTATTCAAGTTCATCTATCAAATGTAAGAGATTAAACCTTAATAAAGCTGATGATGAGAAGCAATAACTTTTAACAATTTATTGCTCACTCAACATAAGGAAATGTAACAACAAAAACTGGACAGTTTGAGTCAAGTACTTACATTTTACGGTATTTTGTTATACTGAAATACTTAGGTTAATTCAATGGAAAGACCACATTAAGTAAACTTGGTAAAACTAGTGCTGTCAAAATTAACACGTTAACGCAGATGATTAATTTTTAATATTACATTTTAATATTAAATTAAATTTTTAATTAAAAAAAAATATTTAATGCCATTAACGCAGGGGCGGGGCTACGGTTGACCACCCCACTTACAACTGCTGCTTCTGTCTCTGTTTTCGTGATAAGGACCATTGTTTATTTAAACGCAGAACATCTTTATGGCCACATCAAACAGGAAATGTTTCAGACGCACGCTCCAGGTTTACTTCAGTGTCAGGCGCGAGTCATGCGAGCTCGGAAATGGTACTGTACTCGCAGCATGTTCTCTTCAATTGCATGCACAAAGGCGCCGGTGCGCTTGTAGCCTGTATAATTTCAAATCAAATCTTGAAAGAAACTACGAGCATGCAATGTCGTAGTAGTTATGTCATCAGTTAAATCACGAAGTTACCAAAAAGGCAATTAAAGCTGCCTTAAAACTGTGCATGTATGTATTTGTTACTTTTGTAGCTTTAAGTATTCATCTGTATTAATTTAGAATTTATTGTTTGATAACTTTATTCAATTTCTGTATATTTCTTACTTGCTGAAGGGCACAGGTAAATATGACATTATAACAGGTTAATGTGAAGATTGTTTTAAGTTCACTTAAATAAGAAGTTATTTTAATTAGTCTAATAAATATTAAAATTGATAGCTTTGTAATGTTGAATGGCTAATCAATAATTAAATATTGGGGTGGGGGGACTATTTCATAGAGTCATCAGAGTGATACTAGCCTTCAGTCATAAAAAAGATGCTATTATACAAATATTAAAAATATACTGTCTTTATGTTGTTTCTACATTAATTTGAAGATTGAATGTGAAATTATTGCAATGCAAAAGTATTTTTTAAAAACTTTAATGTTAGGTGGAATTAATAGCAATTAATTTCAGAAAAAATGTGCGATTAATTAGTAAATTTTTTAATCGATTGACAGCACTAGGTAAAACATATTCCATGTTCATAATATTTTAAAATCACATCTTACCTGTGTCCTTGGTAATTTAAGAGTTGACTGAGAAAATGTCTCATGAGAAGTGCATTTTAAGAGTATTCTCTAAAATAAGGAGGGAGTTAGGGGTGGTTATGTAGCCTGGGTCGTTGCCCTTTTGAACTCAGTGTCCTCTCTGGGCAAATTTAATAGTTTTGTTTGAGGAGCAGAGTACAAGTTAAGTTGTTAATCGCTAAAAATTGTATCCTGTAATCCACTTTATGAAGGATCATTCAAACACCAACATCACGTGAATCTTGGCGATTCACAATCTGTTATGAAGCCAGTGAGCATTTGATATTACTAAATCAAAACCTTGGTCATTGAAGATCATTGAACAGAGACTTGAATTTGTGTCTCTCCCTCACACAAAGTAATCACATGGATTCTGAGGATATGGATTACAGTGTATGAATACGATTTTAAGAAATTTAAAAAAAATATGCTTTTATGGTGTATAAGTGGTGCATTTCATAGTAATTTTTTAAGCCACAGCATATTCAGAAAATCCCTATTTTGTCCCACTGCAAATATCGTTAAACTGTTAAATACATTTTATTTGAGTTGAGGCTTTAAAGTGAAGTCTTACTGAAACTTATTTAATCCTTTTATACCCAAACAGAACACAATGAAACGTTATAATTTCAAATGATGTTAATGAGTTGACTACATTATTTAAATGTAACTGAAACAATCTCACTGATTACATAAATAAAAGAGAATCAATCAATGAATTGAACAGATCCAGTATTCATATATGAACTAATAATTTGTACATGTGAACATCTGTAAAACTTTATATTGATCAATCCAATGCAATGTTGCATGAGTTTGCAAAACATGTTTGCACTGCTAAGCTGAAAAGTATTGATTTGGGTTGAAGATAAACTCTACAAGACAATGGAGTTTGGGGCAAGAGTTGAACAAAGCTTACATAAATGTTTATTTGCATTTGTCATTTTGCATTTAGCTAAAGGCAGATCAGCTAAAAAAAACAAATCATAGTATTTTATATTAATTATTATGTTTAGTAAATTTCAGCAAATTTAAAGTCTTTATTTTTCTGTCCTGAGAATAATAAATAAATATGATGAAACAAGTAAGATTGATGTTATGATTTATTTATTGTGCACTGGGTGGCAGCCTGGCAAGACAGGTCTACCTTTTCTCAATTCCGTTCTTTGCTTTCTTGGAATTGAGAAACAGCCCCTGATTCACTCCAACCCTAACCAGACACACCTAGACAAGCTAATGAAGTACTTCAGGATAACTAGAAAGTTGCAGGTATGTGAGTTTAATCACAGTCAGAGCTAAACTTTGCAGAAAAGGGGATCTCAGGGTCCAGAGTTGAGGACCTTTGCTCTAGACCAGGGGTGCCCAAACTCGGTCCTGGAGGGCCGGTGTCCTGCAGAATTTAGCTCCAACTTGCCTCAACACACCTGTCGGGAAGTTTATAGTATGCCTAGTAAGAGCTTGATTAGCTGGTTCAGGTGTGTCTAATTGGGGTTGGATCTAAACTCTGCAGGACATCGGCCCTCCAGGACCAAGTTTGGGCACCCCTACTCTAGACTGTGTGTACAGTAATGGCCAAAAGTTTGGGCAGTGACATACATTTTGTGTTTTGCACAGTTTGCTGCTTAAGCTGTTGTGGTGTTCATTCACTTTTTTTCTAGAGTATTATGTAGAGTGATCAGATGCATTTTAAATAATTGCTTAAAGCTTTATTGGCCAAAAAAAAACTTTTCACAAAAAAATAATTTCACTGTTTTTTGATCCTGACACAAAATGACCCGCTAACTTAATTGACTAATCATATCAGCAGCATAAGTGTGAAAGTGTGAATGAGTACTAATCAGGTAAAATCACTATCATACTTCCTGCAGAATTTAGCTCCAACTTGCCTCAACACACCTGTCGGGAAGTTTATAGTATGCCTAGTAAGAGCTTGATTAGCTGGTTCAGGTGTGTCTAATTGGGGTTGGATCTAAACTCTGCAGGACATCGGCCCTCCAGGACCAAGTTTGGGCACCCCTACTCTAGACTGTGTGTACAGTAATGGCCAAAAGTTTGGGCAGTGACATACATTTTGTGTTTTGCACAGTTTGCTGCTTAAGCTGTTGTGGTGTTCATTCACTTTTTTTCTAGAGTATTATGTAGAGTGATCAGATGCATTTTAAATAATTGCTTAAAGCTTTATTGGCCAAAAAAAAACTTTTCACAAAAAAATAATTTCACTGTTTTTTGATCCTGACACAAAATGACCCGCTAACTTAATTGACTAATCATATCAGCAGCATAAGTGTGAAAGTGTGAATGAGTACTAATCAGGTAAAATCACTATCATACTACTTAGATTGTAAGAGCAGACTGATTGAGGGAAGAAGCGCTTCCAATCATTGTGTTCTTGTTAGCAATGGTTACCTCCAAAGAAACACATGCAGCCATCATCGCTTTGCATCAAAATGGCCTCACATGCAAGGAAATTGCTACAAAGAATATTGCATCTGAAAGAACCATTTACCGGATCATCAAGAACTTCAAGGAGAGAGGTTCGACTGCAGTGAAGAAGTCTTCAGGACATCCCAGAGTGTCCAGCAAGCACCAGGACCGTCACCAGGACCGAAAATGATCCGTGCATTTTCCAGCATTATGGAGCACCATGTCACAAAGCAAGAGGGATAAAGAAATAGCTCGAAGATCATTACATTGAAATTTTGGATCCGTGGCAAGGCAACTCCTCGAATCTCAATCCCATAGAGAACCTGTGGTCACTCCTCAAAAGGCGAGTGGACAAGCAGAAACCCACAAATTGTGATAAACTCTGAGAACTAATAAGGCAAGAATAGATCGCCATCAGACAAGATTAGGCCCAGAAGCTAATATCCAGCATACCAGAGTGAACTGCAGAGGTTATGAAGAACAAGGGTCAACACTGTAAATATTGACTCATTATATTTTTTGCCAATAAACGCTGTAGCGGGGTGAATGAAACCACAGACACAGAACTGCGGGAAGTCCCCCAGGAGGGTGCTTTATTCACACGTGGTGCTCTTCATGCGCAGGTGAAGTGTCTGGGCAGCGGGGTCACACGGTGCTCGGGGGGGGTGCGTCACTCGGTGCTCGTGTAGGGCTGCTGATCACTCGTCCGGATAGTCGCTGGTCTCTACACAGGAGGAGAAGAAACAAAACAGACATTAGTTTCTGCCTGGAGCTCGTCTTCCACCTCCCCCCTGTGTGCCTTCTCTCCTGGCTTTAAGGCCTGCGGGAATGAGCTCCAGCTGCGCCAATCATCCCGCACAGGTGGCGGTAGTTTGTGATTGGGGTGGGAGCGGCGTTTCCAGGGCGACGCTGATTTGGAACCGGGATACTCGCCACAACGCCTTTAAAACTTATGATATGCTTATCATTGTTTTTCAGTATACCATAAAAACATGTGGAAATACAGAAGCAGCAAACTTTGCAAAACACAAAATTTATGTCACTGCCAAAACTTTTGGCCATGACTGTACACACTCTTTTACTGGAAACAGCAAAATAAACTTGTACTGTGCACCTCAAACAAAACGATTAAATCCATCCAGAGAGGACTTTGAGTTCAGAGAGGCAATGACCCAGACCACATAACCACCCCTAACTCTCACCCTATTTTAAAGAATACTCTTAAAACGCACTTCTCATGAAACATTTTCTCAGTCAACTCTTGACTTACCAAGTACGCAGAGACTCCAGGTAGGATGTGATTTTAAAGCAATATGAACATGAAGTATGTTTTGCCGAGTATTTCAGTAAACTTTAAAGGGTAAATAGACTTGACTCAAACTGTCCAGTTTATATTGTTACATTTACTCATGTTGAGCGAACAAAGAATCTTTAAAAGTTATTGCTTCTCATCAACAGCTTTATTTAAGTTTAACCTCTTACATTTGGTAGATGAACTTAAAAAAATATTGTGATTTAACATCACATTAAACACATTTAACCAATAAGCAAAATACAATTATATGCATTTGAAGAATGACGGTAGGCTCTAGTAGTAATAATTACACTGGTAAAAATGTTAGGGTCACACTTTATATTGGGTGGCCTTCACTACTGTGTACTTACATAAAAAAATATGTATAATGTACTTATTGTGTTCATACTGTATTGCAAAACACTTGCTCCTCTTGAGGTGGGATACAGGTAAGGTTAAGAACAGGTTTGGAGGTATGGGTAGGTTTAAGGGTGGGTTAAGGTGTAAGGGATGGGTCAACAGTTAAATATAAATGTAATTACAGAAATAAATTTCATGCAGGTTTTTTTTTATATAAGTACAATGTAAAAACATGTATGTTCACAATAAGTGCACTGTATCAAATTATTAATTAAAATCTAAGTACAAAATGGTAAACCTACCCATAACCATTTATTAAAAATATGTTCAGTTATAAAGAAAAACATAGCAGACAGACAAGTACAATCACAATAATTTATTTATTGAGTAAATGTCAAAAGCAGTACCAGTAGCAATGTTTTCTATTTGGTACAGAGTAGAATTTAAGTTATTAATCAATGAAAATCTTATTCTGAGCAGCATAATGGCTTCACAAGTGTATCATGCAAGAGCCAATAAATGTTTGATAATCGCTGTCACAAAATGTAACATTCCAAGCAAGAGCCATTGAGCGTTTGATATCACTGGCATAAATCGTGTCGTAGTTTGAAGCGCCAACATTTGAAATCAATAGTTTTATTGAAAATTATAAAAGTTTTATTGAAAATAATTAAGTTTGTAGTTACTGTTATGGAGGTCAGTGTTTGCTTTAGTTGTGCTCTTGAACCTTGACTCTTACGATGAGACATTTTCTGTCTACTGTAGTTGTGTGTTCAAAAAGCACATTTGTCACGGCAAGAAAAAATGGATCAGGTGATTTTGCTTATGTTGTGATGATACCATAATTACAGTGGGCTCATCTGATTCTCTGATCTCATCCAGTGTTTAATCCTTAATTTCATGGGTGTTTTTTTTATTTTACATTTATTGATTGCAGTGGTTTTGTGATTCTACGGCATAAGATTGAACAATGTATCACTAATCAGTATTTTTTTTTTAAACACTCATAGACATCAACAATCAGTACAGGAATCTCAACAATGGTGACAGAAGTTTCATGCCACAATTCATGCTGGGTGCCAGCATAAAATGAAACTCCCAGCATGCACTGAAGTGTAAATAAATTATGCAGCTGAATGTTCTTACTATTTTCTTTATTTATTATTTATTTTGCTGGTGTTTTTGTTGTGACTTTTTGTAGCCTGTTTTGTGATATTAAGAGCTTATCTTTTTTTAAATTGCTACCATTGTTGAGATTCATTTGCTTATTTTTTATGCCTGTGTGTTTCTCAGTGATGCAGTTTTTTAAAGAAATCCTTCATTCTTCATTATAACTGCTGTAACTCTTGTTGTAAATTTACAGAGAAGGTAATATGAAATTTAACTGTGTTAATAATGTAGTACATTTGATAAGAAATTAGACACTGAAATAAATTAGTGAATCAATGAACTACATGATGATCACTTCATAATCAATATATAATCAGCACTGATCATCTTAGTTTCTCTGTTTTGGTTGTATCAAATGTGCTTTGCAAACACACAGTTAGAACAGCCAAAGAAATAGTTGGTATTAAAAAGTCAAGGGTCAGGAGCCCTCCTGAAGGAAACACTGACCACCAAAATGGTAATTCAAACCAAACATTTTCAATAAAACACAAACATCTGAACCTCTGTTAATTCTAAATAAGAGCTTTTGTAGACGTATGACCGAAATAAAGTCAAACTGGTTAGTAATAAGTTAGAGTGTGTGCTTCAGTCCAGGAGAAGACCAAGAAACACTAATATATGATTCATGTTGCTTTATTTAACCCTCTGAGGTCCGAGGGTGTTTTGGGGCCTGGAAAAGTTTTGACATGCCCTGACATTTGTGCTTTTTTCAGTTGCTTACAAACATTTGAATGTTTAAAGTTGAATAACACTGTAATCAGCACAAACTGGGCTACAATAATATGTGAGCAGCATGTTATGTACATGATTGTGTTTTTGAGAAAACAATGTTTATGTGTGCTTAGTGAAAAACTACAATTTTAAAGTCACTGAAATAAGGCCATAAAACACATACAGAACATTTGATCACAAGGCTTTTGAGAACTGATCTTGAAGTCTAGATTTTTTGCTTCAAAATTATGTGAAAATCATCTTACTCATTCACAGAAAGCAATATATTGATTTAAATTTTCTAAGACACTTTTTGTGTAGAAAAGGTATATGCGAGGAGGCGTGAATGAT